TTTCTGAAGAAGGGTCTAGGCCCGAAACGTCAGCCTTCCTGCTCCTCTGATGCTGCTTGGCCTGCTGTGTTCATCCAGCTCTACACCTTGTTATCTCACATAAATCAAAGCTAGTTTAGGATGTTCTTTTCCTTGCACCAAACAAGCTGTCACCAAGTCCACAGGTCATTGCCAGCTCGCAAAATTGATAAAAGGAAACTAAAAATAATGAGAAATCTGCGAGGGTTATAATACCACTGCAGCACAGTTACTCTGGGATCTATTCCTGGTCCCTTCCATTTCCCATCAACACACTGTCCCTTACTGACATTATCTGAAACACATCAGGTTCAACACGAGTACTGCTGACACCAAGCTCCCCCTCATTCCTTGTGCTCTTTATGGTGATATAAGGTATGCTAACTTATAGTATTCTATTAACACTCTCTGATGCTCAACAACAACACTGTAGCTGTGATCCTTCAAGCATTTGAAACCAAATGTGGTTTTTTATACATATATCAGATGAGAATAAGTGCTTGTGACAATATTTGACTCTCTTGAAAATATTTTATTCTGCCCTAAAATCAATTTTAAAATGCATTCATCACTAAAAAGTAATCAGTTTAGTTCTTAGAAAGGATAAACTCACACTAATGCAATGGAAAATGATTGACTAAGTCTCAAAAGTACTAATTATGCATCTGTCATGAAAGATCTGCAGTGTATTATAAATATCTCATTAACATGGCATTTACCAATACTATGCTCACAACTGATGTATAAGTTTCACAATGAAAGCATTTACAACTATACTACCTATTCCATTTGAGGTAGACTCGACTGAGACCATAATACGAGAGGCAGTTGAAATGACGTGAATCTTCCTCCTTGAACTCTTCAAGAATTTTCATAAAGTGTTGCTCAGCCTCCAGAATATTCTATGAAGACAATAAATTTCAGAATACTTCACAGGTCTTCCCTTCATCTTCATACAATATACTCTAATGCTGAATGACTAAATGTTTATCTGCAACCTTTCAATTGCAACCTTTGAAAAAACTGACAGTATATTGTTAGCCAATATTTTAATTTTAATAATGGATTTCATTCACCTGACAATAGAATTGTTCAGGCTACACATCTTGTCACAGCTGGCAAGTAGAACTCTTTTCTTCCAGTGATTCATAATGGAAATGAGACAGGAACCTTTAGTAGGAGTCACCCACAGAGAAAAGTCTGAGCTATGACTCTTAGTTGACTAAAAATTCAATCCAGTAATCCTTCAATTACTGTTTGAATTCTCAATTTCAAAAATGTTTTAAGAGTTTCTTTATGATTTACAGCTTAAATAAAAAGAAACACAAAATGTTCTTACAAAACGAGACAATGCAATTACTCTCTTAAATATTAACCAAAATACTGAAATTCACCTCTCTGCCTCGGGAAAGATTTTCAAGATGTCACTTATGAAGTTAGGTGATGGCAAGTGAATTTTGTTATTGATTGAAAACACATTAAACCCTTGAAGATCAATTGCAATTCTGAGTAACGCAACATACAATTCCTGGAATGAGAAATCTCATTTTTACTCTACATTCTACAATGTTTTAATGGGAGATGATGACATAATAGTAATGTCAGTGCACTAGTAATCCAAAGGCCCAGCCTAATGCTCTGAAGACAAGTGTTAAAATCCCATCACTGCAGCAAATGAAAGTAAAACATAATTAATTTTAAAAACCTAGAACTGAAGCCATAATCTGTAATACTTACCATGAAATTATCAACGCTACATTAAGTCAGTTTTATACCAGCGGTTGTGGAACTGCTCTAATTGCAATCAGAATTTAAGATAGTCCAGATGAAATTTTGGTTTGGTCTTTGTTATCAGTTTTCTCAACAAAAAATTAACGTGCTTTCTTCCAAAGAACCAAAATACAACACTGCCCAGAACTGTTTTCAGAACTTGCTTTTCCTGACCAATTTCTCCACCCTATTCTCTTGTTCAGACATTGACATATTGCTGCTGTTCAATTAGTCCCAGACATCCAATGGAACACTGCACATAAAATCATGAGAAATGGGAGCAGTCGACCACTTGGCACTTGAGCCTACTCCACCTTCAACTAGAAGACAACTGATCACCTACCTTAACATTAATGCCTCATTGTCCCTATCCTTTTGTATCTTTACAGTCAAGAAATGTATCAATCTTTAATGTTCTCAATGACTGAGCTTCCACAGACAGCCGTCTGAGGCAGAAAGATGCAAAGATTTGCCACCGAGTGAAAAATTCCTCCTCATTTCAGACCACTTACTTTGAGACTGTTTCCTGACTCTCGACAGGGGAAACATCTTTCCTGCATCTACTCTGCAAATCCTGTAAGAATTTTGTAAGCTTCAATGAGCTTACTTCTCATTCTACTAAACTCTAGTGAGTACACAGCCAAATAGTCATTGTTAATGCGAGGTTTGACAGTGAGCATCAACAGATTATTAAACCATGGGTAGAGCTCTAGAACAGTCAACGTCTAGAAGCAAGAACTCAAACTAATACTTGTCCCACAAATAAATCAGAGAGCTCAAACCAATGTTAATGCCTTACAACGGCATCAGCTGGCTGCAGCAAACTCAGTATAGACCTCTAAGAACCTCTGAAGATGACAGGTGGTAAAAAGACACACTGGTCCATCGATCAAGACTGGCACACCACACAAAGCTATATAATCTCCTATGATGGGCAAAAAGAATTAAAAATCTAAATCAATAATCCTGTTTGGCAACTGATAGTATACAGATTATTCATCTCTAACAGATATCATAATATGATTTTCACAAGTTATTTCTTAAAACATCTTGTGGTATTTCGTAGAATCCCAATGTGGAAGCAGGCCATTTGGCTCATCCAGTCCACACCGACCCTCCAAACAGTAGCACACACAGACCCCAACCCCTACCCCTATTTCTGCATTTCCAATAGCTAATCCACCTGCTTGCACACCCCTGGACACTTCTGGGCGATTTAGCATTGCCAACCCACCTAACCTGCACATCTGCTTCTCTCTTCACAGATGCTTCCAAACTTGCTGAATTTCTCCAGAAAATTCTGATTTTATTTCCGATCTCTAGCATTTACAATGTTTCCCTTTTTGTTTTTGAAATAGGATTGGTTTGTTTAAATAAGTCACAGCACAGATGGAACACAAAATGTGAGAGATTTTACTTCCTTCGGAGAAGTTCATTGTTATTCAGAGTTCAGAAATAAATATAAGATGTAAATTTAAAAGGTACAGCTCAGATTCTTTTCGCCCCTGATGAGCAATCAACAGTCTCTCACCTAAACCTACATTTGTTGTGTGTAAATTTCAAGGGTCCTCTCACACTATTTCATCACATAACATCACAGGCGAACACAGTCCTATCCTAACTCAATATACCCAATTCCAACTGTCGTTGGTAGTTGATGATCATATGAGGATTTTCTTACCTCCAAAAGCTTGTAGACATCTTTCAATCAGTTAAGCCTCACGCTTACTGTTCTATTAAAGATAAATATGGAGCTCACTACCATGAGGAGGCAAATACAGGAAAATTTGTGCTATCTTGCACAGGGTGGAATTGGATGGTGTCAGCAAATCAAATGTACCAGTTAACTCATTGCAGTTCACACGAATCAATAAAAAACATGCCTTGACATATATGACAACGTGCAGAGGCTTGGAACCTCTCCACCTTTATTTCTTTTTACTGCAGATAGAGGGAAAATTAATTCAACCTCCAGATGCTTCTTTTGCAATCTGTGCAGACTGATATCATCAGTATTTAACATAGTAAGAGTGATATCTGGAAACAATATCAAGGATTCCCATTAACGTAGCACTGGATAACACAAATGTTACTGTAGCACAGATGCATTCAGAGAAAAACTAGATAAAACACATCAGAGACAAAGGAATAGATGGCAACGTTGATAAGGTTAGATGAACAGGGCTATGAGGAAGCTTGTGTGCAGCATAAACACCAAGATGGATTTGTTGGGCTGAATGGCCTGCATTGGACTTTTGATGTTTAAACAAGTCAACGCCATCTAACTTAGTATAGATTATCAAATTCTCCTGCATGTATGCTTGCTAAAAATTGCTTAAAATCCGTGATCCATCAGAACAGCACTATTGCGTAATTTTTCCTTTAAATGGTCATCACTGAACAAGCTAATGTTTGCCAATGCATCGGGGCCAATGTTAATAGATTTTTTGGGACTGCGCTGACTGCGTTACCATATCCAAGTGGCCATTCTCCACGAGAGAACTGGGGCATGTCTTTCAATCAGCCTTTAAACTGTGGAAAGCATTGCAACAACGCCAAATTCCTTTCACACCTAACATCAGCAAAAATGATACAAAGATAAAACAAACCAGGAATCAAATCTTGAGACTCACCAAGCTGTACACTTCAATGTTGGACAGAAACCCGTATTATGCCCTAGGCCATCAAGAAGTTAGTTTTTTTTTTAAAAACGGAGCTTAATAAAAATACCTGAATTAAATTGTTTCCCAGATATGACAGTCCACACGCATACTCGATAAGAATGTACTCCATGGTAGTCAAGTTGTACACCTGTAACAGAAAATTGGCTGTAAATAACCAATATGCAGTATGGCATTTACCAATAGCTGCAGTTAAATATGGAATATGAGAAACACAAATACAACTTATTCAGTTAAACATGCGGTGCAGCACAATGAATTGTAACGCTTCCCAAAGAACATTATCTTGATCACAACCAGGTGTCAAAGTGGTTGCCTGTGACTGACTGCTGTGAGAAAGGAATCACAATTTGCCCTACCCAGACAATCTTTCACCATGAGGGACGTCGCAGAATACAAGAGCCACGGCATATTTCTAAAAGGAGTGTTGACTGGAATCTTTCATCATGGGAAATGGGACTGGCAATGTGTGTGAGATTACCATCCTCAGAAAATACATACTTATTCAGTTAGCATGTTAATGATTGTCATTGCTTACGATTCCATTGGTCCCTGAGAAGCTCATGGGGGAGAAGTGGATTTTAACTCTGCTATCTAAATTCTTAGGCTCCGCACTCTTTAGACCATTTCTATGGTGTTTACCACTGAAGTTTCCCAACAAAAGCTCTGCTGCTCCCATCCAATAAACCTTGATGATCAAATTTTAACTATCAGAATTAACACAAGCATATAATCACACACACAACGTCCTGGTGCAATAAAGTTAGAAAACATTTGAATATAATTTTACGATTCATTTCACAATTAAGTCCTCTTCAATTTAAGATTCTGTTGGGGGAAAAACTCTTTACAAATATTAAGATTTCAGACATATGTTTAGCAGAGACTGCTTCCTAGCAAGTATTCACAGAAGGAAATTGAAAAAAATTGAGTGAAAACAATTTCCTGGTCGAAGTGATAGTCTAGACTGAAAACTAGACTTTACACATAAATGGATTATTTTTAAAAACCACAAAGTATGGGCCAGTTTCAACAACGTAAATATTAGAAACATGCACACCGATCTAAAGTACAAGTCAAACAACTGGATACATAGTGGGATTGAACTTCAACTGGGTTTGAAGACAGATCACCGACATGAAAGGATGTGATAAGTTTTGAAATCACAAACCATAAGTTAACGTACAAATGTTAGGTCAAGTGAGTTTAATTTTTAATATTTTAATAATACAGGATACAGTTGCTCTAATACAACAAAATAAACCCAAGAAAAGTTTACATTCAGTAGCAAAGTGAACTTGGTCAGAGAAATTACATGGTACTTCTTAATAAATTTTACACACATGAAGACTTCCTATTTAGTCTAGGTCCTTTGTTTAAGCAGTTGAAAGGTGATAAATGTGTTTACCATCTCAAGATTATGTAAACAGCTGCTATTTATCTACTAATTTTGGTTTTGTTTCTCAAGAAACGTGCAATTTTATAGGTTCTTGGCATTTTTTAAAATAGAAACACAGAAACTAGGAGCAAGATTAGGGCATTTGGCCCAATCATCATGACTGATCCTCTACGACAACATCATATTCCTGCTTTCTCTCCGTACCACTTGATGCCTTTAGCATCAAAAGCATCAATCTCTGTCTTATATATACTTGCTGACCCAGCCTCCACAGCCTTGTGGTTGCGAATTGGTTAACCACCTTTACGTTCATTTAAGAAATGTTTCCTCATCTCAGTCCTACATGGCTTACCCATTTCCTGAGACTGTGAACCCTAGGTCTAGACTCCTCAACCAACTACCTGCATCTAGTCTGTTGAGCACCATTAGAATTTTGTATATTTGCTTGTTGCGCCTCTTTACTTTCATAGACTGGTGCACAAGAACACCCAGATCCCTTTATACATCCACATTCCCAACACATCACCACTTAAATAATACACTGCCTTTCTGTTTTTCCCAGAGCAACGTAAAAACTTACATTTATCCATCTTATAGTGCATCAGCCATGTGTTTGCCATACATCAGTTGCATGGGACGGAATGGAAGACAAATGCTTTAAATAAAGTTAATATTTTTCACCAGATTTTTTTTCCCCCTCATCAGTTAATGAAAGTTAAAAGTCAAACTGCAAACAAGAGCTATGCAGCAAAATATTCCAGGCTGCGGGACTGCAGTGGCCCAACAAGAAATATTTCATAACATTAAAGTTTGTAGCATTTTAAGTTCTCAAACTTACTTTCTTTTCTTTTATGAGTTTCAGGGCATTCAAGTAGTTCTCCTGGGCATTTCTAAAATGAGATGCCATCAGTGCCTGAGAAGCTTCTTTAAGTTTGCATTTTAGCAATCTTTCTTCTACCTGCAACACAAAATCAACTGATCAATAACAAACTGATTGAAAAACAGATTTGCCCTCATAATGAATCTAATTATTTCTCATTTTGCCTTCATGAAAATTATTTTATTTTACGAATACTGCTATCAGATCATAAGTGAAGGCAAAAGCAAAACTTTTTTTAATGACAAATACATTGAAACAGATGAACTTTGAATGCATTTAACTCTATAGCATTAAACACTGTAAATAAAGTTATAAGTCAGACTTTTATAACAGACCATTTTTAGAAAACTTGTAATTTTTCGAACAATTTTCGCATTAAAAGTGAAATGTGATTTTACTGAAAAAGCCAAATTGATGTAAAATACTGTATTTAAATCACTTCATAGAATCAAAATTAGATCCACTAAAGGAAAAAAATCATTAATTTAAAAGTCTTTTACAGAAGCGATTTTCCAAGATAATTTCTTAAGTGTTTAAAGTTAGGAACCCCACTCTGAGGTACATCTACTAGATGAAGCAGACAAGGGGTATTTAGAGGTTTTCCAATCATCCCACTACTGGAATGACTATCATAACCACCTCTCTCTAGGGGATTGCAGTTGCATACAGATTGGGTTACAGCATTAGATGATGATTCTTGCACGCCTGCCAACAATGCTTCCATTTGCGATCAAGGAATTCCTTACAGATTAGTCTCAAGCAGTTGCCAATCAGGTCAGCAGTGTTCTTCCTAAAGTTTGTGAGGAACTCCTAATCTTACCATTTTTAAACAAATAATTACATGTATATCAGTCATAAAAAGCACTTAAAAATGTAAGTTCACTGTAAGCTTATTTTCTGGGAAGCTAATTGCATACAACTGTTATTGGAAATTTTTCAATGGCTATGTCAGAATATCAATTTCCCTGCAGGAAGAGGGGAAAAATAATTGGCAACATTGCAAACTTCATCCAGAAATCTCTCCAATTACCATTTTTGTGAACTTGCGTGTCTACTTCTAGGAATAATGTCAAGTGTGTAGGTGGAGATCCATTTATAAATATAATTTCCATCCCAATAAAGATTCTCATCAAACAGAATACATTGCACAGATAAATTGTGAAGCTTATGCATCTGATTAAAATTCTCAGTGGTAAGTAAACTAAGCTTTCTTATTGCATTTGAAGTCAATTAATTTAAATTTAAACATATTCTCTTATTGGATTTATCTGAAATACTTGCCATCGATAATTACTTTCCAAACGTGTTAATTATTCCTACAAAAGAGCCAGCAGTTCTGTTCATTAAATGCATGTCTCAAAGAGGAAAGATTTCAAGTCACGGGGCACTGGGATCAGTATTGGGGTAAGAAGGGAGATACTCCTATGTGACAGGTTTCACTTGCACTATGCTGTGACTAGTGTCCTGGCAAATCGCAGAACTAGTTAATTGAGGGTGACTGAAACAAATTAGAGACAGGGATTGGCATGATTCTAGAGAGGGGACATACAAGCTTATACAGTACAAAGATATGGCCAGTGTTCCCTCTAAGCTGTGCACGGGCGCAGCTGTTTCAAGGTTCCATGCATGACAATCAGCATTGGTGCAATCGTGGCATGCACTTCAGTTCCGAAGTCGCTGCCATGCATAGATCTCAAAGGACCATGCAGTTGGAAAGAAAATCAGAGAGAATGCTGGAAATGGCAGCATTGCAAAGGCAGCTGTTTCTGTAATGACACCCAGAGGAGGAGGGGGAAGGGTCAGAGTGTGCAAACATATCTTTAAAAAGCAGCAAGTAAAAGAGGGAAAAAAATGGCAAGAAAAAATGGCTCTTTAGTTAAGTGCCTGAAATATTCGGAACAAAATAAATAAATTAATGGTCCAAAATAGATGATTAGGAAGAATCTCATAGCTATTACGGAGACATGGTCACAAGGAGATCAAAGCTAGGAACTAAATATTCAAGGTGTTGACATTTCAAAAGGCACAGTCAAGAAGGTTAATGCAGTGGGTTGCTTTGTTAATAGAATGAAAAAAAGTACAATAGCAAAAAATGATCTTGGATTGGAAAATGTAGAATCCACATTGGTCGAGGTAAGAAATAACAAAGGGAAGGCGACAATAGTGGAAATATTGTATAGGCCACCCAAAAGTAGCAGTTTTGTAGTACAGAGAATAACTCAGGAGATAACGAGAGCGTGTGAAAAAAGGCAGTACATTGATCATGGGTAACTTTAATCTTCACATTGATTGGGAAAATCATATGCACAGAAGCAGCCACAAGGAAAAGTCAGCGTATTTGGACCAGTTTCCTAAATCATACTGTGGATTCAACCAGGGATCAGACTATTTTGCATCAGGTAATGTGTAATGAGGCAGGTTTAAAGAAATGAGAAAATAATGACCATAACACAGTAGAATTCAGCATTCAGTTTAAGAGTGAGATTCTTGGGTTGGAAATAACTGTGCTTAACTTAAATAAGGGTTATTACAAATAAGGGTATTACAAAGGAATGAGTGCATAGTTGGTTGGAATGAACTGGAAAGTAGTTTAGCAGTAAATGTGGTTCAGGAACAATTTCAGATGTTTAAGAGAAAAGTTCATGACTCACAACAAAGACATATTCCAGTAAGGAACAAAGGATCCTAGAAAAGGGATGAGCCAATGATGCTTAAGCAAGGAAGTTAAGGGTAGTATCAGATAAAAAGAAAAAAATGCAATGCAGCAAAGATCTAGAGGATTGGGAAAGTTTTAAAAGCCAACAAATGATGACCAAATGAAAGAAAATAAACTAGCAAGTAACAAAACAGACAGGAAGAGCTTTAGAGACAACACAGTATGGAGCTGGAGGAACACAGCAGGCCAGGCAGCATCAGAGGAGTAGGACAGCTGAGTTTCGGGTCAGGACCATTCTTCAGCTTTAGATATATTAAAAGGATAAGAAAGAGGCCAGAGTGATCATAGACTCCTAAGACACTGAGTGGAGAAATAATAATGGAGAACCAGGAAATGGCAGAGCAGTTGAATACATCCTTTTATCAGTGGACCATGCTAATATAATTTAAAAACTACTAATATAAAGGCACAAGTACAATTTGTTACAGACCACACTGAACCCCCCAAAAAAATATATTAAGAAGATAGCTTTAAATTAAGAAAAACTAAGATCTAGACCAAGTGTAAGTTGTGTTCCGGGTGCAACTCAATTGGTCAAACTACCAGGCTTAAAACAAAACACACTTATTCATACACTTTAATTAAAATACAGATAAAATAAAAATAAAAGAATAGGCTTAACTATCAAAATTCTTAACAAAATATTATATGTATTAACTACTAATTAACTTAACCAATTAACGCAGCACGATGGTGCAGTGGTTAACACTGCTCCTCACAGCGCCAGGAACCTGGGTTCGATTCCAGCCTCAGGTGAACTGACTGTGGAGTTTGCACATTCTCCCTGCGTTTGAGTGGGTTTCCTCCAGGTGATCCGGTTTCCTCCCACAGTCCAAAGATGTGCAGGTTAAGTGGATTTGGCATGCTAAATTGCCCAGGTGGATTAGCCAAAGGAAATGCAGGGTTACTGGGATATGATAAAGGGGTGGGTCTGGGTGGCATGGTGTTCAGAGGGGCAGGTCTGGATTCGTTGAGCCGAATGCCCCGTTTCCACACTAAAGGGATTCTATGATTAGTTCCAAGATAGTAAAATCCCATAACCACACTCTTGGCAAAGGCAAATTCAGTGAGTTTGAGAATCTGACATCAGTGGTGGGTAGGATTCACATGCATTTGGAAAGGCAAGGAATGATTAGGGATAGTCAGTATGGCTTTGTGCGAAAGAAACTATGTCTCACAAACTTGATTGAATTTTTTTTTTTTAGGAAGTAACAAAGAGGATTAAGAACATAAGAAACAAGAGGAGTAGGCCATCGAGCCTGCTCCATCATTCAATAAGATCACAGCTGATCTTTGCATGAACTCAGCTCCACTTACCCGCCTGCTCACTGCAAATTTTAATTCCTTTCCTGTTCAAAAATCCATCCTGGTCTTAAAAACGATCAATGAGATAGCCTCAATTGCATCACTGGGCAGGGAATTCCACAGATTCAAAACCCTTTGGGTGAAGAACTTCCTGTTCAACTCAGTTCTAAATCTGCTGCCCCCCATTTTGAGGATATGCCCCCTAGTTCTAGTTTCACCCGTGAGTAGAAACAACCTCCCTGCTTCTATCCTAACTATTTATATATTTCTATAAGATCCCTCTCCTTGTTCTTGGGTAGAAATAAGGGAGACGGCAAGTAGTGAGGATCACACAGGGATATAGACAATTAAATGCGTGGGCATAAACTTAGCAGATAGAATATAACTTTGGCAGGAAGAACAGATGAGCTGGACATTATTTAAATGTTGAAAGACTACAGAAAGCTGCGGCACATTGGGATTCAGGACCCTTATGAACAAATCACAAGCCTCCAAGTTCAGTGGGGTGGTAGGGAAGACAAATTAAATGTTAAAAAAAATGAAAGAACTGCAAATGCTGTAAATCAAGTTGCTGGAAAATCTCAGCAGGTCTGGCAGCATCTGTGAAGAAAAAAACAGAGTTAACGTTTCGGGTCCAGTGACCCTTTCTCAGAACTGATTAAGTTAAATTAAATGTTACCTCTATTTCATAGTAAACTGAGTATAACAGGCAAATCTTGCCAAAACTATACAAGGCACTCAGACCACATCTAGAATACTGTGAACAGATTCGGTCCACCAAGGAAAGATAAACTGGCATTTGAGGCAGTCCAGAGAAGGTCCACTTGGTTGATTCCAGGTATGGAGGGATTTTCTTATGAGAAAATCATGAGTGGGTTGGGCATCATTGGAGTTTCGACGAATGAGAGGTGGCCTTCCTAAAGCACACACTGTTAGGGACTTGACAGATTAAATGTGGGGAATCTAGGACCAGACAGCATAATTTTAGAGTGGGAGGCCAGTGATTTCAGACAGAAATAAGGAGGAATTTCTTCTCGGAGGGTAGCAAATGGCCTACTTCTGATCCTACATCTTATGGTCTTTTAAACTCCAGAGCTACTAATAATAAATGCTGAAAATTTACAGCTGTTTTTAGACAAAAAACTTGTATAGGACTGTGCAGTTATATTTTTTTCCTCAATTCTTCAATTTGTGATTTTTGCATTCATTTTTCAATGCAAAAGACACACACTTACTCTGCACTATTACTAAATGGTTAGCAGTCTTCCAGCACTGTACTCCAAGTGCAAGCCTTGGCAGTGAGATTCTCAAAGCCAAGTAGGATTCTATCCCCTTCCCTATATTCAGACAGATGTAAGATTTGCTGGACCATAATCGGGAGCAAAAAAATTCTGCTAATTCAGTAATTCTCAACCTTGTTTGGCTCCTGAGACTCACTCTCCTATTACAATAATAACTTCAATCCGTTATAATTCAACATAAGCTTCTGTTCTGTACAATAATTATTTATGCAATGAAATATATATAATAGTTTTCTTCAACATGAAATTGAGTGAGAGACATGGACAGTAAACTTGAGGCCAGTGCTGCAGCTACAAGCCTCACTGGGCTTGCACAAGCAGGGAAGTTTGGTTACTGATTGCTGGCTGAATGGCTCGTGATCAAGCTTGGGTTTAAAAATTCAAAGGAGAGAGAGAAAAACAGGATCAGATGGATTGCACAGGCTTGCATTCTACACATTCCCTGGTTAGTTTTGGTGAATCTGGTTCTCCAGTTAAGAACTTGTCTCAAGTATTATATCCTGCTTACTCACCTGCCTGTTCCTACAGTCCCACATCAGCTATCAGTCCCCACAACACCTCACATTTTAAGTTATCATCTTCGTCTTTAAATCCTTTGATGGCTTTATTTTCCCCCTTTCATCATGACATTCTCCACCTTACAACCCACCAAATACTTTGTTTCTTTTTAGCATTTTAGCTCAATTCATACATTTAGACACGAAAGTTGAAACAGACATGGGAATAGAACATTAAGCGCATCAAACATGAGGATGAAGGTTTTATGCAAAGTGCTGGGGGACGAGGAGCTAATGCTATTGAGGACAAGCATGACGTTTAAGCAGGATAGGACACAGGCAGCAGATTTTCTCTCATTCTTGCGCAAAATTTTTTTTTTTTTTTTTTTTTTAGAACTGTTCTTACCTCGGAGCTCATTTCCAGTTTGCTGTGCTGTTCCTGCTGTACTTCCTTGGGAACGCACAACATATGCTGCTTGTTCTCGCTGCTAGTTTCTTCCATTTCCTCAGACACTAAATCACTGCAAAACAAAATGTAACGAGCATTTCTGTTTCAAGCCAAAATGAATTATACTTAAATCACGAATGAAAGACTTACAACTTTTTGGAAGGAAACATTTTCAAAACATCACAGCTGTTTATTTTGAAAACCTTATGATTTGGCAGCAAGGTGATCTTGTTTCCAGATGTTAATTTTAAATTGATATATGGAAATGAGATGAACATGCGGTCTTTGTCTTTTATGGAAAATCAAAATTACTGAACTTAAGTATATAAATTTCTAGCAGTCATTTTTAAAATTGCAACCATTTTAAATGTCATGTACACGGCCCTATTCTTCGTACAGAAAGAACAAAGAATGAAAGCCGCTGAAGAAACTCAGCATCAGTGGAGAGAAAGCAAAGTTTTTTTTAACATTAACTTTGCTTCCTCTCCACAGATGCTGTCAGGCCTGCTGAGTTTCTCCTATAATTTCTGTTTTCAGTTCAGATTTCCAGCATCCACAGTTCTTTGTTTTATACAAAAACATTAGAACTAGGAGCAGCAGTAGACATTTCAGCCCCTTAAGCCTAATCCACCATCTGGTACAATCATAGCTCATCTCATCTCTATCTTAACTCCACTTTTCTGCCCGCTTTGCGTAGCCCTTCAACCTTTTACAAACTGAAAATCTGTCAATCTCCTCAAATTTACTCAATGACCCAGCATCCACCACACTCAGGTGTCTTACAGTCAGAGGTCAGGAATTCCACAGATTCAAGACCCCTTAAGAGAAAGTAATTTATCTTAAAGCATGTACACACACTGTGCATTTTCCAGCTCAATGAAATAGGTGACAGCCATTCTTTGGTTCATTTCTCAGGGCAATACCTTGAACAGTCAGTCAACCTGCTGGATATAAAATTTAAATGAAGCTGAGCAGTCAATCAATAACTAACTGGTGCATGCCTCATGGCAGCACCTCTATTAATCATAGTCCATTTATCAACTACTAAACACACTCTTTTCTCATAATACAAACTTAACTTTCACACTCTTGTGAACTGCCCTGATTAGAATTTAAAATACACAGACTATATTGTCATTCTCCAGCAATACTCAACTTCTACTCTACCAAATGCCAGATGTTAAATTTGTGAGCATGTGAATTTAAATACAATTCATGAAACTATGCTTAGCATAGAAAGTAGGATAGAAAAACTAATTTGTTTCAATTAAAAAACAATGAAGATGAGGTCAAAAAATTACTTATCACCAAACAAATACTTGCAGGAAAAACTTGCAGTTACAAGTAACAATAATAATGAATTTCAATACAGCAAACTTTGTTTTAACTGGCTCCTTATAAAACAGTACTCTCGATAAACCAGCAAAAATTATATATCCCAAATACCAGAAGTTTACTGTATTATCATGATTTCCGCAATGCCTGATTAGTCAGTTGAGGCTGCGAGTGAGAAGGCTATCTGCCAGTAAGATTTATTTAAGGCAAAGTTCCATTATTATTTAAGTGATTTATGCTGTAAATAAACTATAACAGTGATGTGTATATCTCGTGCATTACATTTGTATTGCTGCGTGTTTTTACATTGATATGTGGACTTCTTGATCAAGCAGAATATCTGATCAACCGGTGCACTCCTGGTCCCACAGGTGCCGGTCAAAAGAAGTTTGCAGTAACTATCCAATAGTAATTAAAGCTATAAGAATGGCAAGCAGTGTCAAAATATAGATTATTTAGAGACGCACGGATCATTCTACATAGTTTCAGATGACACCATTTACAGAAGAAAATCAGAAGACTATGGAAATGATTGCAATAAGTGAAAATCTCCAAAACATTTTGTGAAGTTGAGTGATATTTGTTTCCATTATTGTTAGGTACACAGCAGTGCGAAATTAATAATAGCTGCTATATTCAATCCATAACGCAGTGGCAGCATCTTCACAAGCTACTGCTAAGTTGAGTTGGGGCATGTTCCCGTGCCAATTTCGGACACAATCCAGTACATTGATTACATCTAGCTGTCAGGTGTGATATGAAACATCAACTCATACATGCTGGTCTTGAACTGCCTCACCCGTGGTTCTGCTCGCCATTCAAAAAAGGTTCCAAAACGTCAGAAATGCTTTCCTTTCTTCAGAGTTGGAATGAGTTGGACAGCACCTTCTGGCTGTATGAAATAAGTACAACCACTGTCTGACCACCATTTCCAGAATACTCCTCTCCATGTACTCTGAAACTGACAAGTCACAAGCAAGCAGGATCTACATCAGCAAACCAAACTAGTGCCCACAAACAACCTAGATGTTGATGACAAGGCCCAAAAGTGATTTAGATTTATCCTTCCAATCTCTGTATTCTCTCGGGGTTTGGTTGTGTGGCATGGGATGTGAACCTTAAGGCCTTAAGCTAGTTTAACCACCTCCACATCTGATGGAGGAACTCCATACAAAGACTGCTGAAAATTTAGTAAAGCACGCAAAATCTTTTGGCAGCAGTTTTCTGATCAGCGAAAACGAGCTTCATACAAATTAAAACTAAGCACACGGCAACTTATGTGATTCTTACAAAACAGTCAAATTGAATACCTTACCTTTCATAAGACGGTCGGTGTGCTACTGAGAATAACGAGAGTGGGGACATGTCCTTTTTAGGATTCATTGGTGGTGATGACACAACTGTTTCATGATCCACAGAGGAAAAGCATGCACCTTTTACAGGAAGTAGGAATGTCACTTCTCCAAGATCCTCGGAAGGAACGGGTAGAGTTTTGGTTACAAATATATCTGCTATTTTTTCTAGCTTTCCAGGTTCCAAAGAATTACACTGATTTTGTTTCAAACTGGACTTTGACTCGGAATCAGAATGATCACACTCAGGTGACATCTTTGATTCATGCCTTTGATTTAACTTGGCTTCACTGTCATTTTCAGAGTCAGAACTGCTAGCTTTGAAGTCCAATGACAAAAAAGGAATCTGTAAAAAAAAAAGTCAAAAGCAGTAAAAAAAAAGTCAAAATGCAATTTAGAAAGGTGCTTTTAAATATGTAATCTAACAAGTGAATTCAAATCAAAGATAAGGTAACAAGTTAATTACCTTCACCTAATCTACATCTGAAATAGAATTTTAAGAAGTTTCCAAGGGGAGGCCATTTGGCTTACCGTACCATGTGGTTCTTTGCTAGAACAAAAATAGTGAAAAGACTTTTTCCACCAAAGTAAAACCATCATTTTCCTTCACTGCTCTGTCGAAAAGACAATTATTCAAGCTGTTATATAGCTTTAATAGCATAAACATGCCATTTTAAAACAATTTAAACAATGAGCCTGCACTGTAAATAACATCACAATTTTATTTTTGGTACGATGGGGTTAAAGGCATGGCTGACAAGGCCAATATTTATTGTCCATTTGTGTTTACCTGTGGTGGTCTTCATGGATCTCTTTGACCTATCCTGCTTCAAAAATATTGTTTGAGAGGCAGTTCCAGGAAATGACCACTGGCAATGGTGGAACATTTTTTTTTAATGCCCAAATGAGGAAACTTAAGAGATGACAGTGTTCCTTTGTATCAGTTGCACCTGTCCTTCTGGGGAGTCAACTTCTATGACTTAACCCTACACCTAGGGATATCAGTGCACTTTTCACAGGATTCAGCAGAAATACTCAGGAATATATCTACTTCTTGGCCTTGGGCAACTGAAAAGAACAGCTGTAGCTTCTAAATACGCTGAAATTTGATGGTTGAGATCTCTCAGGCTTTGCAGTGCATACCAACCAGAAGGACCAACTGCATAGATTTTTCTTTTGGAAAAGCTATATTTTCCACATTTGCAAAGATTAGTTTATGAAACAAACTAGAAATATGGAGGTATTCAGTGTCAGCATTTTATTGGAAAGTAAAAAGAGAATTACAGAATTGAGTTTTGTCTTTATTCTTTCATGGGATATGGATACCACTGATCAGGCCAGCATTTATTGCCCATCTCTAATACCCCTTGAACTGTCAGGCTTGTCAAGTCCTCTGACAAGGCAACAAAGAGCCACCCACATTGCTGAGAGTCCAGAGTCACATGTCGGTCAGACAAAGCAAGGACAGCATATTTCCTTCCCAGAAGGATATTAATGAATGAAGTGAGATTTTACAACACTTGATGCTGACTCCATGGCACCATTACTGAGACGAGCTTTTAAATTCCACCAGCTGCCATGATGGAATTTGAACCCATGTCCCCAGAGCAATAACCTAAACCTTTGCATTAATTGTCCAGTAATATTATCATCTTGCCAGTTATGACACAGAAGGAAGCTATTTGTCCCGTGATGCCCAAGCAATTTGCTGAATCTCACTACAGCCCTTTAGCCTGAGACCCTGGAAACCTTTCCTCTTCAAATAATGATCTAATTCTCTTTTGAAGGCAGGAACTGAATCTGCCTGCACCACGATCTCAAGCAGCACCTTCCAGATCAACGACTGGCTGCATAAAGCTAACTACTTGAAACATTGCCCATGAGCATGAATGCTGCAGTGACAGGAGTTTTATGCAATGAAATGACTCTTATCACAGCGGCATGTGCACTCATTGGTGATTATCATAACAGGCATGGACCATGATGTGAAAAAACAGCAATAATATTGGTGAAGATCTAACAAAAATAGGTTGAATATAGTGGTGAATCTCTGGAAAAATAAATGCTGTCATTTCTGGGTCCTTTTTGTACACATGGATCTAAATTTGGCAACACTTTACAGGATATTTTATGCAACATGGATTCAAGGTTAATTTGCAAAAGGTCACTGCAATACAACAATAAGTATTATTGGCCGAAGACTAACAAAGACTAAATCAGCAGAGAGTTGGGAACAAACTGGTGACCCCTCCAGTGAGTATCGCTCAGAAACATATCATTTTGACTTAACGTAATGATCTAGTAATTAGAAGGAAGAGAGAGAAAAACTCTACAAGTACTACCTCAGTTGCATGCAGTTGCCCTTCAGCAAAATTTCTTGTAATGACAAACTAAATACAGAAGATGGAGCCAGATATCAGATTTCAAAAATGTCTCTTAAATAAAACAACACATTATGGTACAGTAAAGCACCAATTAGCAGTTTAGTTTACTTCAATTTGTATTTTTCTTTTACTTTTCTTTTCTTATTTGGTCATGGTACATCTCGCTACTGGCGATCTCAACAATTAATGTCCATGTCCAATTTTCCTCGACAAGGTGGTGGTGTTGGGCAACCTTCTTGAACCACTGCAGTTCATGTGGTGTCGGTGCATGCATAGTGGAAATTTGAGATGAGTTCCAGAATTTTATTCAGTGAAACTGTAATATTGTTCCAAATCAGGATGGGGTACAACTAGCTGGAGAACCTGTAGATTGGTAACGTTGTAGACAGTGCAAAGGCTTTGGGTAGTCAGGTGGCAGTGTATTTGCCAAAGAATTCCCAGCTTTGGACATAGTCTTGCAGCCACAGTATTTACATGCTTAGGTAAATTAAATTTCTGAGAAACGGTAATCTTGCACTGAAACAGAGAAATTTTCTGACCTTGCACTCCAGGAGGCAGCTTCACATGACTGGAACAAAAACAGAAGTCACTGGAAAAGCTCAGCAAACCTGGCAGCATCTGTGGAAAAAAAAATCAGAGTTAACGTTTCGGGTCTGGTGACCCTTCCTCACAAACGTCCGAGGAAAGAATACCGGACCTGAAACGTAAACTCTGATTTTTCTTCACAGATGCTGCCAGGCCTGCTGAGCTTTTCCAGCAACTTCTGTTTTTCTTTCTGATTTACAGCATCTGCAGTTCTTTCAGTTTTTATTCACATGACCGAAGCAAGTTCTGCAAGTTTATGTAATGCAGCACGTGTTTTTCGAATTATTGGAATTAAATGATGAATAAATGAAGCGCGCACATACATAATTAAAGCAGTTAGATTCTTGCTGAGCAAGGGATTCAGAAATTATCGGGGGTAGATGGGAACGTGGAATTTGAAGCACAAAAAGATCTGCCATAATTTTATTGGTAGCTCAAGGCGCCAAATGGCCTGCTTGTGTTCCTACCCTTAATGTTTGTAAAAACAATTGTAATGCAGTCCTAACAAGGCAGTCTCTCTGTCACTGTCTCTGCTTGTGGACTGGAGTGATTCAAAAAGGCAGCTCACCACAACCTTCTCAAGGGCAGCTAGGAACGGGCAATAAATGCTGGCCAACCAGTGACATCCACATCCCATGAGTTAATAAATAATAAAAAGCAATAAACATAAAAATTAAGAAATAGTAAGAACTGCCAAAGCTGGAGTCAGAGATAATAGTGTGGAGCTGGAGGAACACAGCAGGCCAGGCAGTATCAGAGGCTGCCGAGCCTGCTGTCCTACTCCAGCTCCACAACATAAAAACGAACCTTTGTATAATTCCCTTGTATATAAAATACACAAATACAAATAGGATTATCAATTGTTATTTTGTCAATATTACTGCCCTCAAGCGGCTCAAAACTGACCCTAAAAAGGTATTTGTTTCATTACTGGGAAATGACTGGTGTTTCAGGAAAAGTCTATTCTGGTATTGGTGAAAATGACAAGTGAATGATCTTCTAAATCTATTTAATTGGTTAACATTATGAACTGATTCAAACCGAACTGCCAATAGAACAAAGAGATAATAGTAAAAAATCAAATATGTAATGGAAGTCAGGAAGTTCTTCCCAAAAAAAATGTCACCTTAAGGAGTTCTAGGTAAGGTAGTAAAGGTGAAAACACAACAAGCATTTCTGAGATACTTGAATGCTGAAAGGGTGGTGAGGAGGTAAAGAAGAATTCACTATGTCCTTGAAAGGATTAATTAAAAAAGGGACTAGAGGCTTTATTCGGGTTTGTCTTCCTAAATAGTGAAACCATGACCAATCTACAGCAAACCTACTTTTATCCCAAAGCTTCCATGCTCCCTAATTATAGAACCTGAATTTGTTTCTAATGTTAAGCAACAGCACTTAGTTTCAGCTACGCAGCATAAGTACTACAGTAAGTCTCAATTTGAGGTCTCCCTCAACATCTTTACTCAAATTCTTCTGGTTATATGGAAAAGTCTCAATGCCGACATACTAGCTCATCAACTCGGAGAAACCTTTTCAAATTATGCTAAGATGCAAATCGGAACTTCACTGTCAAACAAATTTGATCTGATTTGCTCATTATCAATACTAATAATTGCTTGGTTGTACAGAACCTAAACATTGCTAAAAGGAGACAAGAAGTTGAAGCTTTTCATCTTGTTCTCCTTAAAATTAGGCTGTAAGAAGCAGACATGATCAAAATGGCACCATTTTCTCCAACATCAAGAATTACTGATTTTTGGACCATCACTGGCAAGAACAGGTGACAAAGATGAAAGACTAAAGCAGTCATATCAAAAAGCATACAAAGAAGAATCCGTGTATCCCAGAATGCTTCTATCTTAAAAATGAAGTCATGATGAGGAAAATGGAGACCATCACATATTCAGGCAGATGAAAAATGGGCAGAAGTTCATCAAGTTGTATTACCAGTGGATTACAGAAAGATGGGGTTGTGGGTAGCACAAATTACCAGGTCGTCATTTGGGAATAAAGAAAACTCAAGCCAAAAAAAAAATTTTTATTGGCCTGGACTGCACAAGGATTTGGTTGACTTTTGCTAGATTGGTCATAAATGACAGATAATTGGAAAACCTCAGGTAATGATAAACCAGCAATCTTAGTACTCTTTCCCAAATTTGACGGAACTTTTACAAGTGTCTCAACTGATTGTGTAGGACAGCTACCCAAAACAGAGAGTGGGCTTCAGTATTTGTTGACCATACTAGATGGTCTACTAGATTTCCAGAGGCCATTCCATTACACTGTATCATGGTTAAAAGGACTGTAGAATAGTTACACAAATTTTTTTTCACTATATACAGACAACACACAGAAATACAATCAGATCAAGGGTAAAACTTTTACATCAGTTATTCGAGGAAGTTATAGATAGTAACACATTTCAAACCCACTGCGTACCATCCAGAATCGTAGACAGCATCAGAACGGTGGCATCAAACTTTAAAGACCACGTTGAAGGTTTATAGTCAAGACTATCCAGAGGATTGGAATAAAGGAATTCCATTCATACTTTTTGCAATTAGGAATACATCCAATGAATCTACCAAATTCAGTCCAATTTAATTAGTTTTTGAGCATGAAGTGAGAGGACCACAGAAATTAGTTAACAAGAAATTGGTGAGGCAGAGTTCAGAGACCACATATTTGGACTATATGTCAAATCTTAGGGAGAGATTAAACAGAGCAGGTGAGTTGGCTGGACAGCATTTGAAAGTAGTACAGAATATGATGAAACAGGAAGCAGACAAGAAAGGAAAAATTTGTTACGTTGCTCATGGAGATAAAGTGTTAGAGTTATTCCCAGTGGTAGGCGAACCTTTACAGATAATGTTTAGTGGGCCATATCAAATCGAAAGGAAGTTGATAGATCTAAGTTATTTATCAAGAACATCATATAGAAAGAAATCTCTCAGAATATATGTCATATGAATATGCTCAAAAGGTATTTTGATAGAAAAAGTTAAAGGAGAACGTGTTACTGGTTATAACACGAGTGAAGAACCAAGTTCAGGCGATTCTGAATTGAACATTCCTCAAAATAAATTGGACAAAGGGGAAGTTCTCAAAGGTTGGGAAAAATTATTGAGCTACCTTCCACAGGAAAATCAAAATGACCTGAAAGTGTTATTACAGTTACATGGGGAGATTTGTGGGAATAACCTGGGAATTACTAACCTGAACATGCGTGATGTAGATATAGGAAATGCTATTCCAATTAAGCAACATTCTTATAGACAAAGGACAACTTCTTTCAGATTCCTGATGATGGATGAAGGTGATTATGAGCAGTAAGTGGTTACATTAAACTTATCCTGTTAAGTGTATGGCATTATCTTTTATATCCCTGCAAAAGATTCAGAATGCTTCCTATCTTCTGCATATTTTCTAAGCAACCTGTTCAGAGATGGTGTGACACACCTCTGGAGCAGGTGGGACTTGAACATGGGCTTCCATAAACCCACAAAAAAAAAGTCAACATTCAAATGGGGGCGATGGACTATCACAGAAATAATTCTAATTCACTCTTCCATCCACAATACAGAATAATTACAGGTGTATCAACTTTTAAACATCTTGATTTGTCAAAGTACAGTATATTTTATTTAATGAGAAAAATTACCAATTTGTTTAACAATAACTTAGCCTTACGATAAAAATAGTTAAAATTTTATCAACAGGTGTTACTGCTTAACTTAATTTAGAATTGTGTAGAACAGAACTTTGTAGATTTTTGAGGAATAAAAGTGCTTCAAATTAAATAGTATTTAGGAATACACTGCGTACTTACATCCAAATGTACAGCTTGCTGATTCTGCTCCTTTTCAGGGTACATGTTATCCTTCGCATTTTTGACCCAAGTATCCACAAATTCTACTGTAGGAATCACATCGTCGTCATCTTCACTCGATACGTCATCTTCCTCATCAACCTCTTCAACTGTTGAACTCTCAGAATCACAGCTTTGCTCTTTCAAACTTTACAGAAACATGTTTTTTTCCCCAAATTAGACTTACAACAGTTCAAATTTAAGTCCAACATTCATACAGCATATAAAAATTTTTTTCTGAAAAATTATTCAGCACTAACTTGGAGGAAAACCAACAGCTTAAATTCATCAGAGATAGTAAGAACTGCCTATGCTGGAGTCAGAAATAACACAGTGAGGAGCTGGAGGAACACAGCAGGCCAGGCAGCATCA